CTGTGGATGGAAACAGGCAAAAAGAAAAAAAAAAGCAGAGCCAATGCAGCTCAGCAGGAGTACACTAGCACTGTGAATGGTTCTAAAAAGAAATACAACAATAAGAGAACAAGAAATAAAGGGAAGCATCCTGCAGTGATGTTGGACAATCTGGGGGAGAACCTTGCAAACAGTCTTACACATTCACTCACTGTTACTGCAGAACAAACAGGCAGACCAAACTCCCTTCACACTGTGACTCCAGCCCTCCATCCTTTTCTATTCTCTCTATTTCCTTTGCCTTCCTAACTTGATGCTTAAAGCAATGTCAGAAACAAAATCACTTGTGAACTATTACATTTATCTAATGGCTGGATTTGATCTGAACTGTCTAATTTAACTGATTTGAGGATGTGGGTATAGGATATCGAAACTGATTACTACCTTTATTGTATATAGCACTGTACTCTCAATTTCTCTTGAATTTCAAGTGTTCTCTTCTGGACCAATAACCATGAAATCTATTTGGGTAATGTAAGAGGCAATATCTAACTCACTCACAGCAATCTGACTTGATTAACCTAGTCTGAAATGAGCAAGAGAGACGGTGAAATTCCCATGATTCAATCAAAGGCAGCCATAAAGAAGGTGAACATACTGTAGCAAAAACCCCCCTAGGAGTGCAAACATTACACCCATTTCATAGATTTGCCCCTAAACACTGTTTTCTATCTGTGATCCCTGTTACTATATTACCATTATGGTGCTGTGTATTAGTATATATATTATACTGGGAATACTTGCAGATAATACCATATGGGGTTTGCCTGTATGCTGCCACATGAAAAGAAAGATGAGCACTATATCAGAGAAGGAAGAGGGCAAATATTACAAGGAGGTGACATGTAAAAGGGTACAGACCGCCACTGCAGGACTCGTTTGGAGCCCGTTTATGACTCATGGGCTATTAATCGTATTGTTTACAGTACTGTAGCAGCTACTGGCTTCTTGCAGCCCCAGGGAAAAACAGAGAGACAAGCCAGGCTCCCACTGCAGGTTGGGGCTGCGGTAAACACACACAGGGAGATTGTGGATGTCTGAGAAAATGAACACGTTACTGCTAGTTATACCAGCACTTTCAATTTATTAGCAATTGTAAAACTTAACAACTAGGTTTAATTTATGAGGAAATGCCCTTACGCACTATAGACTCTATAGTGGTGTGTATGTGTGTGTGAGTAATGAACGCGGTGAAATATAGTAAAGCTCCCCAGTTCCTGCTGCACCTGTGTTGGTAGAGTTGATTTGTCTCAGTATTTGGGACTCCAAGTTGAAAGATTCATCTGTCACCGACAGGGCTATTCCTATAGGTCTTCGTCAACCTTCTCTCAACTGCCACAAGACCCACCAGTGCTCTTAAAACATCCAGGCGTTAATGTGTTATACACATTACACACACGCACCAGGGACTCTGACGCACGCCCTGCTTTAACCCAAAAGCTAGCGTTTAGTGGTGATAACTTACCTCAACCTTTATTTATATAGGGTGGTTTAACTGAGAG